AAAACTCTCCACTATGGCTTCAGACTTTTGTAAACAATGCGTCATGATGTATACGGCTTGTTCCACGTAAGCAAATATAGTGAGGAAAATAAGTACTGAACATCCTGCTATTTTGCATGTTCTCCCACTTAGAGTTCAAGGAGGGATCTGAAATAGTTTTTTTAGGTGCATGTCGACTGTGAGAGACTATCTCACAGTGCAGGATATTCAAATACTGATTTTCTTCACTACCTAAAGTTGTGCCAATTGCTATTTCCACATTTTTTTTTCAATTATCTATTTTTTTTTTTTTTACTAGATCATTTAAAATCCATTTTTGAAATATTTATTTCCCAAATAATCTTTGATATTGGAATATTTAGATCTGACACCATCTTAACAGTAATAAATAAGCCATTCTGTTTGGGGGACAAATCTTTTCTACAAATGTGTGCCACTTCTTTCAAGATGTTTCTTATTTAACCTAATGTGTATTAAAATCCCATAATTTGAGCTTGTGCATCTCATTAAAATAGAATTAAATTGGTCTTTAGTTATGTTTGACTGACCAAAGGAACTGTTTAGTTTTATTCAATGTAAGCCATAATTATTAGTCTTAAATGCTAGAAGTATATTTTAGCATCTCTTTCCCCTGAGTAAAAAACGATATACTTATATGAAAAAAAAAAATGATGCTGTGATTTATTAAAATACATAGGCATGTGTACTCCAGTTTCCTATATTGCACAGTAGTATATATTTTAAATAAAGCCCTAATTAATCTTGGAGGTTTATTCATACGTAGATAAACTGGTTATTTAAAATCACATTAGACAAGTGACATAAGTTTCTAGTGCATCAATCATTAGAGCAGATCAACTTCTGCGTTGCTCAGCTTCTTTAGTTCTGAACCTGATGGAAGCATCTGGGTTCTAGTTGTATTACAGCTGCTTGACCACCAGGCGTCAGTGTTGCTTAAAAGGGTTTATCAACTGGTATTATTTATTTATAAATGCACAGATCTTGTTGCTTCTAAGCTGGTCGATATAAAATATAGCTGACAAACATTATTCTTTAATTTTGATTTCTAAGAAATCCCCACATCTAAAGCACAGTTATTCACATTCCTCATGCACAATACTGATTGTAGAAAGAAAATGTGTGAATAAGCAATAAAGTTGATTTTGTAATTCATTTCACATTAGTATTTCTCTGGATTTTTTTAGATACTAAAAAAGGAGCATGCAGGATTTGTCCATTGAAAGTGAAGAGGAAATGTTCAAACTGTTCATGATAAATTATTATTGAATTAAAACCTGTATATATATCCTTACTAACCTCCAAAAACAATATATATCTGCAGGTGTTACATTTTTATTCATTAAAGAGCTCAACATTTAACTCGAGAGCCAAGGTATTAATTTGTCGGGGTTTTTTTTTCTTTTTTGCTCTAGTTTTGTCAAAGAACTTTCCTTGAAGTCTATTGGTTTCAGAGATGCTTTAACTTTATAACCCCATATTTGAGCAATGAGGCCTTAAAAGAAGGTAATGAGTTATTTTATAGCAACTATAGCCTAAACTTCCTGTGTAATAATTATAATAACTCTAAATGTTTTGTATTAATTGTAAAATATAATCTCTTAAAAAATGTATTCCCCCTAACCGAAAGGCTGTTCCACACACCTCTCTGCTACCTTTTTCTCTTTTATAAAAAAAAAAGACATTTCCCATCTCCTCCCAATGTTTGCACATAATTTATTTTTATCTGTTTTTTTTTTCTGTGATATCTGGTGAGATGGAGTTTGTTACATCTGATCATTTGTCACACTGTAAAGACTGATGCTTATATCCAACAGTGAAAGGTTTACAGCAGTAAAAATATATACAGTAATGAGAATCACTAAACCTGGATTACAAAACAGGAAAAGCATTTATATAGAGTTTGACTATTTTTTCCACTCCACATTTTGTTAAACAGGCAAAGCTGACAGATCTGCTTTGGTTTGCTTTGTTATTGAACAGATAAACTCCAACACTTCCAAACTATAGTTTCTCTCAACAACTCAGTTACGTTTATTTATATAGCAACAATTCGCAAGAAATTTTTCAAGGAATTTAACAAAAAATAACAAGCAGTCACCCGATTCTTAAAGTTTCTCAGTCAGGTAAACATATTCCAAATTAACCCTAGTTATCAAACTGTTAACATTCATATTGTTTCAAGTATTTTCTATCTTCGGAAACAGCAGATTTCATTCAGTCATTGACTTGCAGGATTGTCTGATAAATGAGCATTAAGTATGTATTCTGTTTTTGATCATGCAGCAATCCCTCATACCAAGTATGTATGTTGTGACAGTGGAGAGGAAAAGTCCATTTTAACAGGAAGAAACCTCAAGCAGAACGGCCATCTGCTATAACCTAATGAAGATAGAAATCATCTGCTTTCAGTGAAATCAGATCCAAGAGGACTTTCTATTATTGCTCTTTGAGGCTTTATATATGAGAAGGGTTAGAAATCATATTCCTGATTTAACAGGAAACCAATGAAGAGAAGCTAAAACAGAAGAAATACACTCTTTCTTTCTGACTTTGATCAGAAATCTTCTTGAAGAGTTTTTTTATCAGTTTGAAGGCTGATAACTACATTTTTTAAAGAATTACAACAGTTTAGCCTTGAAGTAACAAATGCTTAGACCGGTTTTTCAGTAAATCTCTAATTTTGGCTATAACTGGAGGTGAAAAAAACAATAAAAAAAATTAAATGCAGTTTGTGATTTAAATGGCATGTCATGGCCAAAAAAACAAAAGAATGTTTACTTTATTAACGGTGGCCAATTTAAAGCCATTCAACACATTGACATACTGAGCAATCTGATTTTCAGAGGCTCTGGTCTGAAGATTAAAACTTCTGTAAGATCTGAATGTAACAAGTGATGAAGACTCCACTGACAGATTACAAGATTATAGACACATGTGATGTCATAGACATTTTTTTTATCATTACTTTTGTCAGATTAAAGTTATTTCTGTTACCATTTTGTTTTTTTTCTTTTGTTTTTTGATCTTCTTAGTATCTGTCTGCTTTACTCTCAAACTATAAACCCCCAGTTTTTGACCCAGAGGCAGACAACCCTTCTACTTCTAAAAGCAGACATAATAATGTCTCTTTTTCTAACCAGTTTAATTTAGTGGTGGTTTGGGTAATCCAGAGCTGTCGCTGTAATTACACAGCTATTTTAAGGCTTAACTGTTACTGATCTTTGCTCTTCCAATTTGCAGTTTTTGCTGCCAGTGCCTTTGTTTTTTGTTTGCTGTATGATTTATATGTCTGGCTCTGTGCTTCTGTGCTTCTTTCCCAGCCAATAATGCCGACTAAACTTGGGGTTATTGGAGGTTTCTTCCTGGAGGAAGTAAAGATCTAAAAAAAATCTGTTCTGTCCTGTCATCAACTGGATGTGACAGTATTGTATTATTTAATGCCTTGCACAAGTATTTATATTCCCCTGACCTTTTCACAGCTTTGTCACATTTTCGTTTAATACTTTGTTGTATTTTACAAATGACAAACAAAAAAAGATACATGTTTTATTTTAAGACTGTTTGAACAAACAGAAAACTGAGCAAGAAGGCGTGCATTTGTATTGTCTCCTTGGATCAACATCTTACAGAGAAACCTATAGCTGCAATGATATGTGCAAGTCTATAGGGGTCTCCACCAGCTTTGCACATCTTCATGCTGAGATCTTTTTAAGAGATTCCCTTGGTTCTCAGTAGGATTTATGCCTAGCCTTTGTCTGGCCCATTCTAACACATGCATATATTTTAATTAAAACCTTTACATTAAAGGTTTGTGTTCCTGCATGAACATGAACCCTCCCTCCCTTGTCTCACGTTTTGCATCATTTGCAAAAAAAAGTTTCTTCCAGAATTAAGCCTCTACTGTACTCCATCCATCTGCCTGGCATCCCTTGCTGAAGAAAATCACCCCAACAACATACATCAGTATGCAGTGTACTACATGGCCTGTGATTAATCAAGCATGTCTTCTATTGTTTGCTCCTCTCCCATAAAGATGAGATTATGGAAGTGCAAGACTATTTGTCTTGCAGATTTTCTCACCAAAACCATGAATCTCTGATCATCCACCCACTCATCCCCCTTTTCAGGTGATGACTTAAAGGGTTTAAAACAGTGGTAAGATGTCTTACACACCAACCCTGCAACTAAATTCAACAATTCAGATTTAAACTGATAAAAAGGACAAAAAGAAGCTTTTCCTCCATCCTCTTCATTAAAATATATTCTGTTGTTATTGAGCTCCATGAAAACATATTTTAACGTTTGTGTTTGTATGAAGACAAAATATGAAAAGGACTGAGAAATGTAAATTGGTTTCCAGTTGTCATCTGTGTTCCAGAAGGTTTGCTGCTGTGCCTTCTTGTTCTTGTGTATAAATAACATGAACTGAATAAACTGTTTATGTAGTTGTGGTAATAAAAAAAACAGTTTGTGTTTTCCTGCAGCTTTGAGTTGAGTGGATGTCAAATTTCCTTTGAATTTTGTTTAAATTAATGATGCCATTTGTTGTGATGATGTCATGTGGAGTCATTAAGTTGAGCTGAAGCTGTTCACTGTTATTTAAGCTTTTAGGAAGTTATCAGCAGGGTCTCCCTCCCTCTCTCTCTCCAGGCACACACAGGTTTATGTTAATGAGAAGTCACAAGGCGCACAGGGAGCAGAAGCCATTTTTCTATCACTGGAGCGAAGTTGCGCGGTCAGAGCGGAGCGGAGGTGAAACTCCTCTGGTTGGGACCTCAGTGAGTGTGTTTGCCCCACAGGACAACGGCTCTGACCAGCCAAGATTAGGGCAAGACCCCCCTCCTCTCCTTCAGCCCACCGAAGTGAGCGCAGAGAGCATGGCTCTTCCTCAACAAAGGGAAACTGAGCATCGGTGGGAAGTTTAAAGAAGCGAGGAGCTGCAGAGTGGCGCGCTGTCGGTCTGCAAACAGAGGAGCAGGATGCGCTTGGTGAGGTGGGAGCTGCGGCTCATGCTGTGGTGGTGTAAACTGGTTTCACTGGTGCGGTGTTCCGCCGTTCACATCAGCGAGGATGCGGTAGTTGGCACCGTGGTGGCCGGAGAGGAGCGCGGCGCGCGGTGCGCTTTGGATCAGGTTCTGGTTCCTACATTCGCGCAGCGCTTTTTGGAGACGGACGCAGCGGCGGGCATCGTGCTCCTGTCGCGCTCGATCCAGTGCAGCTCCATACCTTCAAACCCCTTTACTTTATACATAGTGGAGGACTGCTCGGACTCCGGACACAGGCACCTTCTCACCACTCAGTATGACGTGCATGTTCACGGTAGGAACTGTTCCCATAGGCGTAAGAGGAAATCTGAATGGGACATGGAAGTCCTGAGTTTGTTCAGCAGCAGCGTAGAGTGCCACATTGCACACTCCGCTTTATTTCCAGTGGGGGGTCTGCTGCCTGGCCCCCCGCTCCGCTGTAAGGTCTCCAACAGTCCGGAGTTTTACTTCTCAGAGGGGGGGCTGTTTGTGTCTGAGACTCTGTGCTGGAAGCAGGACAGGCTCCTGGAGCTGAACCTGTTCTGTGATGTACTTACAGGAAAGGGACTAAATTTAAAACCAATCTGGATCCACTGGCGACTGGGTCAGGGTTCATTCAGCCAGGGGCACCTACAGAAACTCCTGGAGAAGGCAGCTCAGTCTGATTCAGGGATTATGAGCAGGAAGAGGAGAAGTATCAACAGCAGTCCCCAGTTTAAGCCCCCGATGTACCAAGTGTCAGTAGCAGAGAATAAGCCAGCTGGGACTCCGGTTGTTGTTTTGAAGGCTGTGGATGTGGATGAGGGAGAAGCTGGCAGGTTGGAATATTTCATTGAGGCTCTCTTTGACAGCCGCTCTAACAATCTTTTTGCTGTAGACCCGGTCAGTGGTGCTGTATCAACTGTGGAGGTGCTAGACAGAGAAACAAAAGATACTCATGTGTTTCGTGTGACAGCAGTTGACCACGGCACTCCTCGACGTACAGCCATGGCCACCCTTACAGTCACCGTCAGTGACACCAACGATCACAATCCTGTTTTTGAGCAGGAGGACTATAAAGAAAGCATCAGGGAGAACTTAGAGATTGGCTACGAAGTTCTGACCGTGAGGGCCACAGATGTGGACGCCCCCGTTAATGGTAACATCCTTTACAATATCCTCAACGGTAATGGGTCTAATGAGGTCTTTGAGATAGATTCCAGATCTGGTGTCATCCGCACTAAAGGACTGGTAGACAGAGAGGAGGTGGAGTCCTATATGCTGCTAGTGGAGGCGAATGATCAGGGTCGTGACCCCGGGCCTCGCAGTGCCACAGCTACCGTCTACATTATGGTAGAAGATGATAATGATAATGCGCCTCAGTTCAGTGAGAAACGCTATGTGGTGCAGGTGCCAGAGGATATGACTCCAAACACAGAGATCCTGCAGGTCACTGCCACAGATCAGGACAGGGGGAGCAATGCCGTGGTTCACTTCAGCATTATGAGTGGAAACACCCGGGGTCAGTTTTATCTTGATGCTCAAACGGGCAAAATGGACCTGGTGAGTCACCTGGATTATGAAGCTAACAAAGAGTACACCCTGAGAATCAGGGCTCAGGACGGAGGCCGTCCCCCGCTGTCCAACATCAGTGGGCTGGTCACAGTGCAGGTGCTGGACGTCAATGACAACGCCCCCATTTTTGTAAGCACACCTTTCCAGGCCACCGTACTGGAAAACGTTCCTCTGGGTTACTCTGTTATTCACATCCAAGCTGTAGATGCTGACTCTGGAGAAAACTCCAGGTTGGAGTATCGCCTCACTGAAACCACACCAAACTTCCCCTTCGCCATCAACAACAGCACGGGGTGGATTGTGGTGGCAGCGGAGCTGGACAGAGAGAGTGTTGACTTTTACAACTTTGGAGTAGAGGCCCGCGATCATGGCTACCCTTTCATGTCTTCGTCCGCCAGCATCAGCATGACGATCCTTGATGTCAATGACAATAACCCAGAGTTCACCCAGAGGGCGTATTACATGCGTCTGAATGAGGACGCGGCTGTGGGAACCAGCGTGGTGACAGTATCAGCTGTGGACCAGGACATCAACAGTGTAGTTACTTATCAAATATCCAATGGAAACACTCGCAACAGATTCTCCATCACGAGCCAGAGTGGGGGAGGACTAATTACACTCGCCCTACCCTTGGACTACAAACTAGAACGGCAGTACATGCTTACAGTCACTGCAAGCGATGGCACTCGCTTTGACACAGCCAACGTTTTTGTTAATGTCACAGACGCCAACACACACCGCCCTGTGTTTCAGAGCTCACACTACACAGTCAACATCAATGAGGACAGACCTGTGGGTACCACTGTGGTGGTGATTAGTGCCACTGATGAAGACACTGGTGAAAATGCACGCATAACCTATGTGATGGACGACAGCATCCCACAGTTTGACATCGACCCTGACACGGGAGCTGTCACCACACAAACGGAGCTGGACTACGAGGATCAGGTCTCTTACACTCTGGCCATTACTGCTCGGGATAACGGCATCCCTCAGAAATCTGACACAACCTACCTGGAAATACTAGTGAATGACGTTAACGATAACTCACCGCGCTTCCTACGAGACTACTACGCAGGCTCAGTGATGGAGGATGTGCCAGTGTTTACCAGTGTGGTGCAGGTGTCTGCCATCGACAGAGATTCTGGGCTCAACGGACGTGTCTTCTACACCTTTCAGGGCGGCGAGGATGGAGATGGGGACTTTATAATTGAATCCACCTCTGGCATTGTTCGCACACTGCGCCGACTAGACAGAGAAAATGTACCTGTCTACAGCTTGCAGGCTTTTGCTGTAGATAAAGGTGTCCCTGCTCTGAAAACAGCAGTAAACATTCAAGTAACAATCCTGGATGTGAATGACAATCCTCCTGTGTTTGAAAGAGATGAGTTTGACATAATGGTGGAGGAAAACAGCCCCATAGGCCTTGTTGTTGCACATATTTCAGCTACAGACCCTGATGAAGGAAGCAACGCACAGATTATGTATCAAATAGTGGAGGGAAACATCCCAGAGGTATTTCAGCTGGATATTTTCTCTGGAGAACTGACAGCATTGATAGACCTGGACTATGAGCTGAAGTCTGAGTATGTCATCGTGGTTCAGGCAACCTCTGCCCCCCTGGTCAGCCGGGCTACAATCCACATCAAACTCATAGACAAGAATGACAACGTGCCAGTGCTTAAAAACTTCCAGATCATCTTCAATAACTATGTGACAGATAAATCCAGCAGCTTCCCCACTGGAGTGATCGGACGCATCCCTGCCCATGACCCCGATGTCTCTGATCAGCTGAGCTACAGCTTTGAGGTTGGGAATGAACTGAACCTGGTGCTGCTGAACCAAAGCACGGGGGAGATCCAACTCAGCCCAGCCCTGGATAACAACCGGCCCCTGGAGGCCTCCATGAGGATCTCAGTGTCAGGTGAGACCGTAGATAATTGCAGCCTCCGCCCAGCGATTCGAGTGCACTGTTGTAAGATGAGATCAAGCTTAGTGAGGTGTACTATAGCACCAGTTGTACATCCTGTCTAATTTACATTTTTTGCTTCATTTCACAGAGTAATGACATTGGCTTAATTATTTTATAGCGATTTAGCTCTGAAATATATACAGGAGAAGATTAGCTCCTGCAAGCCTTTATATCCCAAAGAAATCCACTTTAATCATGTTTTATTGTCTGTTATTCATTATTAAAAATGTTCAGTCAGTTTTTACCCAAACTTTAGTGCCATCCTGTGCCCTGATCTTAATAGCTGTTGGTCTGTGCTTGCCTGTGACCGGTGGGATTTTTGCTTCACTGACCAAACTGATTGTTCTCTAAAATTTTCTTTTGTAGCCTTGAGGAACTGAATGCAGAAAAGATCAACTTATAGAGACCTTATATATTATGTAGAGCCAGAATTGTCTGCTTCTTCTTGATGGGCATCTGATTTTCATCTGAAAATACATGTTTGATTACATTTGGGGATATTTCAGAGTCTTTAAAATGATGCTATGTGAGAGGTCATAAGTAATTCATGTCTTACTTGTGGTGTATCAGACTTGGTAGCATTTTGTCATATAGATTCAGATTTTTTAGAAAGGTAGTCAAAGAAATTCTAAAACCTAAGACAAGTGTTACTACTTATAATGAAAAACTATTACAATTACACTAATAGGTAATTTTATCCACTCTAATGGTAAAATAGGGATAGTAGGTCTAACAGATTTTGAAAAAAGTTGCTGAATATGTGCTAAGATTGGACCATATAAGGTTTTTATCACGCTTGGTTTCCCTCCTAAACTGTTGCTCCAATCAAACTCATTTTTACAGGTTCATTTATCAGTATTTTTTCATAGATGATGACTGAGGACATAACCATAGTTTTATTTAAAATAAATCAAGTAGATATGTTAGCCATAGATGTCAATCTTGGATGTCTTCATGACTTTATTTATAAAGCAGGATCACAGCGGTCACATAGGGCTGCTCAAGTAAAAAACAAACATTTAACAAACCTTTATCGTCAAGCTGTTTGCAGTACTTCAAACAAATATGATCTTAGCTAACAAAATAAAAGCTCATCATTTTCATTCAGGTATTTCCCCTGATTTACTCACTACTCTATGCAATACATGATATTCTGTAATGTACATTTAGAGCAGTGTAAAACCTGTTCAAACATGTATTATTCAGTATCTAATTGTTAGGTACATCTTCATAAAGATAAACACTTTGTTTACATTGATGACTGCATGTTTATTTCAGATTTTAGAAACTTTAAACTTGACTTCGTCATGGGATACTGAATATGAAGGTTTCAGAAAGAACAGCAGTGGTTGCGCTTTGTCCAACTGCTATTTCCTGTATCTATAAACAATATATTTTTTACATAAATAAGCTCCCAAAGAAAACATTTTAACTGTTTAAAGATGTAAATAATGGTGCTTGGATTGATTGCTATGGGGATTTTAAAGATCAGAGTTATGTTAAAGTGGTGCAAGTCCGCTTTGGCCAACGAATCCGGATTTATTGTTAATAAAAACAACAGAAGAGTTATCCACTGCAGGTATGATATTAACTGGCAATAGCTTTTTAACAGAACTTCTATTAAAAACACAGCTAAGCTATCCTTTTAATGCTGAACTATTTAAAGCCAGAATTAAAGACTGTGCTTAATTGGCTCTTAATTGAATGAGTGGAATTGCACCCACACAAACGGGCAGTCTGTGTGTCTGTGGGATGTTGGAGCTGATTGGATGCATTATGACACTGGCACAGTCTATCAGAAAACTGCTTGCTTGAATAAAACATTTGAAATTTAGAGCAATTGTGAAATCCAATGTAAACAGAGAAGACTCGGGCTTGCAAAAAACTCAAAGTTGACCAAGTGGAGGAGGGTGATCAAGACTTTAATGTTTGATGGTGAGTTGTCACTGGGGAGCAGATACTGTGTGGTTAGCGTGGGCAGTCATTAGGGTATATTGTGGCTCAGCTTAGCCTCTCTGGAGAACAATAGTGAGCTGTCGTTTAAACGACGGGGGCTGCGGCTGATACTGCGCCGAGGTTTGGGGCAACAGCTGTGACTCCACTGAGGACCAATTAGAGCCCAGGTCTCCCCAGCGTGTCCAGCACCTGCTGGGGTTTATGTGTTTGCACTGCTGCTGGAGATAGAAGGACAGGGAGGGAGACAGGGGAAGAGGGAGGGAGGACTTTTGTAAACAGGATATAGGATGGAAAATATAGTCCTACTGTAAAAAGGCGAAAAGCTGAAGGAGGACAGGCAGAAAGAGGAGCTTTTATAGATGCCACTGACCTCAATTTTCCAGGGGCCTCCTTCTGCTGGGGCCTCCCAGGCCCCCCTTTCTCTTTTTCTTTATGCTTCCCTATAAGAGGCCCCATATGATAAATGATTTTGGATGGTCTCTTTGTACATTATTGAGCTGTGAAAATCATCATTTCCAAGCACTGTTTTTCAGTGACGCACTCATGAAACTGAGGTAACTTTAGCTTGTTTTAGTTCACGGTGATTATAAATCTATTGCTCTTCCAAGCTGACATTTTGTTATTCAAGGGGGATATGTGACAAAATCAGCTCATTAGTTACACAAGTATGAGAAGGTCTTACTTTGTATTCTTGCTCCAAAAAGCCAAACCTCCTTGTAGTCCATTAAAGCAGCGATTGTGATGAAGCTTCAAAGCTTTTCTTTGAACTTGAGCTGCTTTTTAAAATCATTTTTGGCCGAGGACATAATTTTTACAGGAATGTATTTATAGGGCATTTTTTTTGTTGGTCGTTTAAGGGCCTCATTCTCTGCTAATCAAACTCACAAATCATCTTTATAAGTGAATAGAACAGAGACATCCATCACTGTCTCTTGGTTGGGTAACTTTAGATATAATTAACACAAAAAAGATATTTATCTTACATTGAAATGTTCCTACCCAGCCTCTCGCCCGTAGACAGCTGGAGATAGAGACACCAGCACCCCTCGCGACCCCGCTTTGGGATAAGTGTGACTGAAAATGGATGGATGGATGAAATTTTGCTCTATCATTTTTATTTTAATTCAAGAAATTATAATAATAAATTGGGGGGTTAAGGGTCTTGCTCAGAGGGCCAGAGTGGCAGTCTGTGTCCTAGTCACTAGGCCTCCACTCCCCCCTGATTCTGAGGGATTTGATAAAAACATTAAATTTTTCTTTGGAGTTATGCACATGTGTTTATTTCTTGTAGTCTGTCGTATTTGACACTGACAACATTTTTATTACTCAGGGTTTTTTAAGGAGTTTCATTTGAGTTTTTTGTCACGTTGGAACTTGAATGAACATTTTAAGACTAATTGGAACTTTAATGTGGTTCGCATTTTATTTTATTTTAGTACGTAAATGTTTCAAAGTTTGTCTATGAAATATTTCCAAGTAAATTCATTTTTAAGTTTCTGATTAAAAAGAAAAGTGTTTTTAAGATCAGTCAACTACAAAAAAAAAGTTAGCATATCAAAACCAAAATAATGAACAGATAGTCATTAGTTGCAGCATTAATTGACATGTTACATGTGGTCATAATCAGGTTCAAAGGCTGGAGAACAAATATAGCAGTTGAATATGTTTCCTTCAGCTTATATAGCCTACTTCAGTTAAAACAAGACATACAGCTTTAGGATGAGCTATTGAAAGACAAAACTAATAAAGCATGGTTTCAATTTCAATATTAAACAGCAGAGATGATTATAGTTTAGGAAAAAAATGGCAGATTCTTTGTTTTTCCTTTTTTGTTTTTTGTATTGCTCAAAACATTATCTTCATTTTTAAGATAAAAAAATGATCTTAGCCCTACTTGGAAATGTAAAAACCATATCTTTAAAATTATTAATACACGTAAAAACTGTCATCTGAGCTTTATTACCTATATTAAACATAACCTATTTGACTTCATGAAGTAGGCTCAAAGTTCTCAAATGGCAGAACATGGTGAACCAAACTAAAAACAAGGCAGAATCAGTGAGAAACATAGTCATTAGTCTGAAAAGGGTAACAAAGTCATGTGGCGGCTTTGAGACTCGGTGAACCACAGTTAGAGCCATTATTCTCTACAGGAACAGTGAAGAACCTACTTAGGACTGACCTGAAATGAGTCATGGCGACTCCTCCAGGATGTCACAAAATAACCAGAAACATCAGACCTAATTTTTCTTAGTTACACTCAGTGTTTATGGATCGACAAAGTGAAGGGCCGTAGTCAGAAATGCACTCAAAAAAAATAAGGCAACCATTTTTGGCATTTGCTTAATCATATTTAGTTACTTTAACACTATTGGTTAGCAGGATAGGACATAAAACAATTGTGCTACAGTAACTAAATATGATTAAGAAAATGCCAAAAGCGGTTGCATAATTTTTTCAGTGTGGAATCCATTGTAGAGTCACAAGACAAAAAACACTTTTGACCAACAAGGACCCAAAGGTCTGCCTCACATTTACTAAAAGAAGGACAGGTTTATAATGCTTGGAAGGTGGGAATCCTGTTACTTCCGACATAAAACTATCAGCATTGTGGGGAAAAAAAGAACATATAATAACAGTCACAGTCAACAAACACAGTGGTGGTAGTGTAATGCTCAGGGTTGGTTTTCTTCTTTATGACAACTGGCTGATATGAATGGAGCAGTGGATTATGGTTTCTCGCAGAATACTCTGCCATCAGGGGCTAAAGTTTAAGTGAAGTTTGATCATATAGGAGTAGGATTATCCAACAGGTCCATCCCTGAATGACTGAATGACAACAGTATAATCTGAGATATGATGAAATTCCCTTAAACAGACTGATTGTGCTCATTACATTTTCATAAAGTTTCAGGCTGATTTGGATTTTATTTATTAATTTTGTTGCTTAATGAAATCATAATTGAAAACATTTTCTTTATTCACTCAGGCTGAGC